TTATAAATAGTTTTTGATAAATATTTTTATTAATTTTTTTCTTCTCTTTAAATAATCATGCGAAAGTTTTATTTTACTTTTAATGTTACAAGACTAAAAGTTTTTCTTTTTTTTTCAATTTTTTTAATTCATTAAACTAATTGGTTGCATAACAGTAACCAATAGTCACCGTCATCAAACGCTTTAATAAACTCTATATTAGATGTAAATTCATGAAAACAGCTTTCTTTAAATAACTTGTGCATAAAGTTATATAATGCTTCTGTTTAAATCTAAAATGATAGTCATCTATATTGCTTGATATATATATATTTTTGTAATAAAATATTTTTAAATATTTGTAATACGCTGTAAATACGTCAATAGACATTTATATTAATATCCAAAATACCTAGTTTAGGTTGCTTTTGCACCACCACCACACCCCACACCCATCGCTTCTCCCTGGATCCATCACTATCTAGTTTTAGTTGCTGCATTTTCTTAGCAAAATAGAATTTATACTTAGTACTTTAATTCGGCTATAAATTACATAAAAGTTCTCTCCATTATATAAAGGTTCTCTCCACATTATAACTATATCAATATCTTCAGTGTATCAATATGTGTATAAGTGTATATATGTATATATATATATATATATACATATATATATATACATATATATATATATATATATATATATATATATATACACATACATAAATATACATATACTGAGATAAAATTATTGAACAAAAAGTGCTTATACATGCATTGCTATGGCCATGCTTTAAACCTTGCCATCTATGATGTTATCAAAATTATTTCAAGTCTCAAAAAAATCTTTGGAACAACATTTGAAATTTGCAAACGGAGAATAATTCAAAGTTTATCTATAAATTGTGTCCAACAAGATGGACAATGTGTGACAATGTTCTTAAATCGTTTCTAGAAAACTATCGCGAGCTAATGAAACTTTGGAGATGGTCACTTCAAGAATTGAATGATACCGAAACGAAACCAAGAGTTCGTGGAGTGAAGTTTGTAATGTTGACATCTGACGTTATCTTTTGATCTTATTTAAGGGAATGCCTCATAAAATAAACAGACAATCTAGGTAAGGAAATCAAAGGTCAAAGTATTTTGGCTGCGGAAGGACAGAATTTAGCATTTAAAGTCGTTATTGTTCTGGAAAAATTCCGAAGCAGAGAAATTTACGAACTGTTTTGGGAAAGTACTATGAAATGAAAAATCCAGCAAGAGTTTAAGGTCAGGTGTAAACTGACCTTAAACTCTCAAGAAATAGAAAAATGTCAGATTATTTGAAAAAAACCCACAAAAAGTCTTTCATTTTCATGATTCACCAAAAGAAAATGATCGACAATTGTATTTTGAAGCTTTTGATCTTATTATCAGTTTTATAAAACAGAGGTTTGATCAACCTGATTGTAAGGTATATATTGATCTTTAAGAAATTCCTCTCAAAAAAAAAAAGTTGGGAAAATTATCTGCAATAAGTTTGTCACTTTTACTGTCAAGACATTAACCCGTCTTTAGCTAAAACACGAATTGCTCTTTTCCCAAGCATTGCAACACCATTAAGTTACGACATCGAAAAATTCGCTATCAAAGATCTCTTGTTTTTCAAGAGTTTAGATCACATGTAACTAAAACAAATACTGCAAAAAAAAGTAATAATGATTTAACAAATATAATAATCTTAATATCAATAATCATAATAAAACAATAAAAGTAAAATAAATGCTTCATTAAAAAATAACAATAAATAAACAAAACAAAAACTATTTAATAATGCTCACAAATAAAAACGTGTCACACACACAAACATTTAGTCACAAAAAGTATTGAGTTTTCATAATAAATGACAATATTAAAATAAAAAAGTGAATCATATCAAGCAAACATATATCCTTTTTAATTCCTTTCCATTTTCGAATGTTTTTTTTCTTTAAACTTTGGATTTTCGCCTTTCCTTTTTCTTTTCTCATTTCTTTTTTCTTTTGTTAATTTTATTTGAATTGTTTTTTAGTTTTTTTTAGTTTTTTTTTCTTTTTTTCTTTCTTTTCTTCATTCACTATATTTTTACTTTATTTATTTTTCTTATTTTGTTCATTTTTCTTTATCTTTTTTTTTTTTTTTTTAATTTATTTATAAAAGTCGTTTTGGAAAAGCGTCCGCCATTCCGGAAATCTCTGCATTGATTCTAAGACCATTTTAACACAATTTTATTGATGTAATTATAAAATTATATGTACTATATCACTGATATAAGTTAAAAAAAAGGCTGTAATATTAAATTTCAAAGAAAATGTTAATAAAATAACGGTTGTCAATCAAAATAGTCTATGTCGTTTAAGTAGCCGATCGACCGCCTAAACAACTTGCTAATTCTTCATAGTCACGTGGAAGCAGTGGAAAAATTGATTTGTTTGAGGTCGCAAAATGAGTATATTAATAAATGTCAAATACGAATTAACATTTTTGGAAATTTCAGTTAGCATTTTTGTAGAGATAAGCGATGTTTGACGAAAGTATTACAATTTTTATTTTTTTCATAGATGTGGAGTTTGATGATCATTAAATATACATTAGAAATGAAAATCAAAACTTTTCATTACCCCTTCATTCCTTTGAAAGAACCATACGTCCCCCTAATATTGTGGTTACGGCTCTGATATATATATATATATATATATATATATATATATATATATATATATATATATATATATATATATATATATATATATATATATATATATATATATATATATATATATATATATATATATATATATGTATATATATATATATATATATATATATATATATATATATATATATATATATATATATATATAAATATATATATATATATATATATATATATATATATATATATATATATATATATATATATATATATATATATATATATATATATATATATATATATATATATATATATATATATATACAAATATATATATATATATATATATATATATATATATATATATATATATATATATATATATATCCCGTCGTTAATTTTTGTTTAAAAATCTCCCGATTACCAGTTTGTGTGTGTTTTCACAGTGTGAAAACACACACAAACTGGTAATCGGGAGATGTGAAACGTGCCCCTCTAACGTGGAACGTGCCCCCCTAAATCCAATCGGGATTTAGCGCAAAAGGTCTAAACCGATAGGAACCACTCGCAAAACAAACTAAGGTGTAGATGTATATAGTAGTACTAATGGTTTAAAGTTAAGTTAAGGTTAGCTATTTAATCCACAGCATATCTAAATCTAAGCTGTTCAACAAGCTATGCACATTACAGCAGAGCTGGAGACTCGAGTCAACCGACTCGAACTCGAGTCCGACTTAAGTCACACCAGTAACTCGACTCGAGACTCGACTTGGATTTTACCCTGAGACTTGCGACTTGACTCGAGACTTGCTAATTTCGGCTTAGCGACTTTAATATTATTTTTTTCCGTCTTTTCAAAAATGGAGCAATTTATCTTCTATTTTAATTGTTTTTTAACTATTTTTTATTTTCGAATGTTTTTAATTTACAGATGGTTTATTTTACTTTTAAAGCTACTTTAGTAAATAAAGTAAAATTATAACTATTGTCATGCTGTATTTTATAATTGTGACTGGTGAATGTAGCTAAATAAAGGTGACTGTTTGAATGTAGCTACCAGAGCCATCGCAAGGCTCCCCCATGCCCCTCTTGTAAGAGGAATTTCGTGGTTTTTATGACAGGTTTTGGAAGGGGCCTCCGAACTTCTAGCCGCGTCACTGATAGCCACTACATGCACGGGAATCTTTTATTGTAATATGACTTGACTTAAGACTTGATTTGACATGTCACTATATGACTTGAGACTTGACTTGAGACTTGCTTCAAAGCGACTTGAAAACAGCTCTGCATCAGTGTGTAGATTTATGAAATAGAATTTAGAAATTTAATAAAAATAGAATATGATAAATTGTTAGGACAATAATAACTTTTTATTTTTGTTATTTAGGTATTGGCATTTTATTTTTGTTATTTAGGTATTTCTATAAAAAATATTTCTATAAAAAATATAATATAATACAATATAATATAATATAAAAACACTATAGTATAATATAAAAATATAATAAAACATTTCTATAAAAAATATTTCTATAAAAAGTTTCTTTCTATTAGTTTTGATTTGTATTACCTGTTATAAAAACATCAATATGAAAGAAGTCATCATATTGATGTTTTTATAACAGGTAATACAAATCAAAACTAATAGAAATAATAGTTAATTAACATCTGATACCTTGTAATGATAAACTGTTGTAATCAATAACAAAAACTCAATAAAAAAATATTTATCAATTTAATAATAACTTAATAAGTTAATAATATGCATCCATGTCAGATATTTATCTTTCATAAAAATATTTAATGAAGTTAGAATACAAGTACACACACACACACACACACACACACACACACACACACACACACACACACACACACACACACACACACAAAAAAAAAAAAAAATGCAGAATAAAAGATCTTTTGCATGCAATTTTAAAATTTAATGAAAACGTAACTTTGAAATGCATGAATACAAAATAAAACATAAAAAAAAAAACACAAAACAAAAATATAAAAATAAAAATATACAATATGAAGATCTAATAATAAAAAGATTAAACTTCGAACTTCGGCTTGACTGACGATTTGATCAAAAAGATTTCAAAATTTTACTAATTTTATGATTTATTTTTATTTTTTGTTAAAATAACAAACAAGTATAATTTGTAAAGTGCCTTAAGTTTTTTTAAATAGTTTGCTAAAACGACATTTACATTATATTGCATAGCAACATAAATGCAGGAAAGCTTTTAAGTTGTTTTTTCCAATTCAACTGGTTTAAAAAAAGTGAATATAGCGTAGCTATAAAAGGAAAACATTGCAAGATTGAATATAGCACAGCTATAAAAGGAAAACATAAAAACGCAACGTTTTACTTTTGTTTTATTGCATAAAATTTTGGCTGAGAAAAAGCGTATTAAAAATCCAAAAAAGTCTTCTACAAAAGAATGTGTGAAATTAACATCTTATTACTACAAATTAACATATTATAAAAAAGGCAGTCAGACGCAAAATGAAAGCATGAGCAGATTTCAATAGAACTCGTACAAGAACAATCACTAGTAATTTTTTATGACAATTATAATCCCTCTGATATATTCTCACAAACTTTTTGGGAAAAAAGTTGGACAAGTTATCGTCTACATTATTGCGACCACTAATCATCAACAAAACGACATTCAAATAGTTAAAGAACGCTCGAAAACGATGTCAGGTGTTGAGAACGCTCAATTTTTTGACATTGAAAATGTCATTACTATTAGTATAAACATAAGGAATATTGAGTAAAATATAATTAAGATGTCGCCTGAAATCAAAATTCAATACATCACAAAACATAATATACCACCCAATTTTTCAAAAATTTTTAGATCAATTATGTGGGCGAATGTTAATTGGGAATGCCATTCTACTGTACAGCAAGGTTTGTTTTGCGGCCCTTGTGCTTTGTTTTTTTTTTAAAAAGAGATGATAAAGGGTCTTTGGTTAATACACCCTTTAATAATTGGAATAAGTTTAAAGAAAAAGTAGATTATCACAAAAATAGAGTTTATCACATACGTTTTTGAACGAATATTATAATATTCAATCAACACTTTAAATGTTTCTTTAATATTTCACAGTCAATTAAGTAAAGAACTTGCTGAACAAATCAAATGCAATACAAAATTTTTGAAATGTATAATGAAAGCTGATATTTATTGTGGAAAACGATGTATAACTCTGCGTGCGACGCTTGAAAATGTAGATAAACTTTGAAATATTGATAACTTTCTTTTATTGCTTTAATTAATGGGAAATTTAAACAGTTTCTTTCTCGTTTCAGTGTTTTTTGATAAGAAACATGAGATATACAAAAAGTTTGTAAAGTTCGAGAGTGTAAGAGTCAAAGATGTTATTCAGCAAAATTTACATGACATTAATTCAAATATTGAAAATATATAAGACCAAGCATACTACAGTGCAGCATCAATTGCAGGTTCGTTATCAGATGTACAACCCAAATTTCTGAGCATTCAACCAAAAGCAACATACACCCATGGCGCGTGTCATTGACTGAACATGGTTACTAGTCATTCTTGTAAAATATCTGAAATAAAGTATATGTCAGATATAATGGAGAAATTTACGACATGGATGAAAAATAACGCAAACCAAACACAACTTTTTAACATGGTGTGCTAAAACAAAAATCAATTTCACACATTAAAAACACCGAAAATTCTTACTAATATTTTTTTACAAGATGGATTGAAAATTTAGATGGCTGGGAAAAATTTCGTTTAGCTTATCCGTTTCTGATAATATTTTGCAAAGTCATTTCTAAGAACCGATGTGACAATAAAAATGAATATGCCAAATGGCTGCATCAGTGGACTGCTAAAGACACACATCAAGTACTGTTTTTTCTGAAAGCGTTTGGGAGTTTTAATTTTATTATAAAAAATAAAATCAAAAATAAATTATTCTTCCTCGACCTGTCAAAGGATTTTCAATTCGTATGATGCGTTCTGATTATACCTGTCAAAGGATTTTCAATTCGTATGATGCGTTCTGATTATACCTCAAAAGGACGATGACCTTTTATTTGTCGGAGAACATTTTCTACCCATTGTTTCAATCAAAGACAACTCAACAACCTGTGGGAAGATGTTGAGTGAGTGAATTTACATAATAGGTATAGAATAAAATTTGCTTATGTTTGATTAGTTTGTTCATTATTTGATGAGATATCAAATGTTCTACAATATAATTTGCTGAGATCTATTTCTGTATAAATGTATAGTTTAATTGTAAAAAATCAATGGTGCTGACATATATTTTTAATGTTATTTTAGGGAGGGGGGTACAAAAACTGACATCATGTATAAAAGGAAGGGGGTGTTGTTGGCCAAAAATTGACAGCTTTTGACAATGAGGGGAGGAAAGGTTGAGTAATCGAGAATAATCACTGACAACATTTATGGACAACCTAGTTACATTATATATGCTTTTAAGTGTGTTAAAATTTTAATCTCAGAAAAAGAAATGATGAAAATAGACGTAAATATCTTTGTCGAACAAATATATAAACATGCATCGATTCTTGCTGAAAAATCAAATGTAAAGCCAGTAATTTATATACGATACAGCAAAGCCACCCTTTGAAACATTTGAAGAACATTTCAAAAGATCTCTTATCATTTCATTTATAGATCATAAATTTGTTGAGTTGAAAGATAAATTTAAATCATCGAATACAATTGAACGCTGTATTTCAAAAACGAGTCACGTTTTTGAAATGTGACGAATTTTTTCATAAGGGAGGTTATTTGAAAATAATATTTTTTTTAAGGAAAAGATAAAATTTTTAATAAAAAATAAAATTTTTTTTTAAATAAAAGAAAATTATTTTAGATAAAAAAAAGATTAATCTAAATTTTCTCCTGTAAATTTTTTACAGGAGAAACATTTTTCACTATCCTGTAAAATTTTAATTGCGTCTCGTCACGTTTTCGAAATACAGCGTTCAATTGAGTTATTGTTAAGTTTTGAACTTCTATTATCTGCGTAAAAACTTTAGTGGAGCTATCTGAAATGATTCAAAAAGCTACACTACACTTTGAAAGTGATCTCCCTAACTCTAATTTCCTTGATGAAGAAATGTGGCAAAAAATGTTGGTTAGATGTCAACCAGATTACCGACCCTAAAGTGCAGCCGTGGCGCAGTGGTCACACTTTTTAGAGTTCTGGCTCAGAATCCAGTGGTCCGAGGTTCGACGCCAGCTCTAGCCCAACAAGCGGAAGGAGGCGTGAACTTGAATTGAACTTGAGTTAAATGCTCTCCCGCCGGCTCTCTATGATAAGACCGTAAAGATTTCTGGGAGCACCTAAATATATACAAAAAAAAAAAAAAAAAAAAAAAACAAACGCTGTTAGCGCTCTTAAAGAATGTAAGCCAAATAAGTTTCCAAATATTTTTATTCTTTTTTTCCCTTGGATGTGTTCTTCTAGTCACTACCGCAGAATGTTTAAGAACGGGTAGTGCAATTCGACGCCTTTATTCATCCAGAAGAGCAACACAAGAACATCAACAATTTTCTGAGTTGGCTTTAATGCACACCCACTACGATTTTAACATCGATTTAGATGTATCTGTTAAAATGTTTGCAAAAATTACATCCGAGAAAATTTGTCTAGAGATTTTGTAGAGTTTGTCTCTTTTCTTTTAGACGATTAACAATTGTTGTAATTAATTTTAATACTTATTGAGACCGAAAGTGTGTTGTTTATTTATTTTTCATCACTTACATTTTATTAAAAATTGCGGCAAATTTTTTTTTTAATTTTTTTGTAACACGATTCTGCCCGCAAAGACTTTTTTTAGGAGAGTGACAAATTTTTTAATGCTGCCTATTTTTTTTTTAAACAAAATTCCAAGGTCATTTTCAAATTTTGTTTAAAAAAAATAGGCTGCATTAAAAAATTTGTCACTCTCCTAAATATAGTCTTAGCGGGCTCAATCGTGTTACAAAAAAATAAATATTGTAAAAATTACATTTTTAGTTTAAGTTTATATAAACTAATTTTTTATGACTGAGTGTAAGCATTGTTGGTTCAGTGGTAGAATTCTCGCCTGCCACGCGGGGGACCGGGGTTCGATTCCCCGACAATGCAAATTTTATTTCCTGTGTAATATATTTTAAATAGGCTACCACATTATCAGCGCCAAGTTAATACTAGAAGACATAGAAAAATTAGCGAAATATATTTTTAATTAAATATAAGTATATTTTTAATTAGATATAGCGAAATATATATTTTAAATAGGCTACATTATCAGCGCCAATTTAATAGGGGCTCCATAAGACAAAGAAAAAAAGCGTTATCATACATTAAAAAAATATATTATGTGTGCTTTTTCTAATGTCTATACTCTATACTAGTATTGAGCTAAATCATTAAGTTTAATACAACAAGGCTCATTTAGCAAATTATTGCCATCTCAGGCCCGTACGCAGGATTTTTCGTGGGAGGAGGCGAAATTTGAAAAAGTGGACCATTTTTACAACATTTAATAAACTTATAATAAAGTCAAAAGTCGTAAAACTAACTAATTACGTAGCAGTATGCTTGATAAAAATGTCTGTGTGAATCATGCCGAGAAGACCACCTTGTTCTAAATAGGTCAATGAGACCTTTTCTTGGTTTGGAAATGTCTGGTAATGCCTTCATGATAATTGATTGTAGAAGACTCTCGCGCTTTGGACTGGCAAGGAAAAACAGACAACTTCAGTTTCTTCAGTTTGGCGATGGTATTTCTTGTATTTGGAAGAGAACACGAATGGGCTATCACAAGATTAAGGCAATGTCCACTGCAGTGGACATATACAGCCTTTGGAGACTCATTCTTTATCTTTCTCTGAACACCTACATTATTACTGGACATATTTGCAGCTCTATCGTATCCTTGACCACCAGGCGCGGACTGGCCCACCGGGAAACCGGGAAATTTCCAGGTGCGCCCCACCATACTTGGCGCTTCGCCCCCCCCTCCCCGCAAAATTATAAGTTGTATATCTCCATAATACCACATGTTACATATCGCTTTAAGTGCAAATTCATGATCCACAATTGAAGCATCATTTATATCAGGGGCAAATTGAGATATATTTTAGGGGAGGACAGAAAAATATTTTTTGACTTTTTAACAAATACTCACGTGAATTAATTTTTCTCATGCTGTTTACTTTACTAAATGATAGTTTAAACTAGACCCAAAAGAAACTTTATTTCGTCCGAAATTAAAATTTGAAAAAAGTGATCAGGAAGTCTAAGTTAGGACCCATCTCCCTAAACCCGCCCCTGATTTATATCACAAACTTTATAACAAACTGATTTGATACTTCTTATTTATGATTCCAAAAGCTTTTTTTGCTTTTTAAAAATAAGCAAAACACGCTTAAAATTTCTAAATTATTTAGAGTAAATATAATAAAAAGTATAATTATACTCGAAAACATGCTGAGTCAGCAAAAAGTATGCAGTTTTAACTACATTTTTAAACAAGGATTTCTCATGAAATAGTCAATGTGTGAAACTAAAATTTTGCAAAAAGGTTACCAAAATGTTGATTGAGGGATTGACCAGAATCACCATCATTTACAGAATCAAAATGGCTGCACTTTAAAAAATAACTTTTAATTTTTATGTAAAATTTGTGCTGCCAATGTCAAGATCTCGACTAACTATAAGATGAACAGCTAACTATAAGATGTTCAAAGTTTGAAAATCTGTCATCAGAGAAAACGCAAGAAAACAAAATAAAACAACTTTAACAATATATATCTTTAAAAATTTCCAGACCCATAAAAATCATCCTTGCTCAATCCTTTTCTTATACCTCTTAATTTTTTCCTCCTTGATTTTCCTTCCTTTCCATATGAATGATGCGATTGTTGCCCTTTTTAATTGCGCCGAGAAGGAAGTATTTTTCACAATTAAATCCAAGTTGTTGAAAAGTTTCGTTATGCCAAACGTAACATCCATTAAAAGATATAACTGCTGAGAAAACAGCTAACAGAAACACTTTTTGAAACAAATTGTGTTTTGGGGCGTTTTTTCCAGATTATTCAATTGAAAGTAAATTCTAAACTTCTCCCTAGAACAATTCAAAAAAGAATCTAAACGTTTTCTATTAGGAAAAAACTTCGATTTTAAAAATTTCTTTTAAAAATAGTACCTAAAATAATTAAACTGAAAAAGTCATCACGACTCTCTTATTTTTGTCTTGATTTATTTCTTATCTATAAATAATATATATATATATATATATATATATATATATATATATATATATATATATATATATATATATATATATATATATATATATATATATATATATATATATATATATATAACTAAAAAAAAATGTTTATTTATAATATAAGTCTCATTAGGATTTTGGGTATAGCTGAGTAAACATTTTGACAAAAAATTTTCAGAACAAATTTTGATGTAAAAATTTAGCATAAAGTAAGTTTACTACTCTAAAATGCCTTTTTTTCTCAAAACGACCCCCTAAAAATCAAGGTACGGGCCTGCCTTGAGAGTCCGAGTTAACAAGATTTTACTGTTTATACAGTCATTAAATGTACCTATGTTACTACAGTCCTCCAGTCGTCAACAAGATAAGAATCAGCTAGAACTCGGTGCACTTGTTACCGAAGAAAGTATACATGATGTGTATATAGAACTAACAAAAGATGATGCAAACTCAAGTATTCTCAACCATAAACATCAGTGTACCGAAACAACAAATTTGATTTATAAACGGCTGTTGACAGTGCACAGCAACATAGTGACAGTGCACAGCGTAACCAAACAACAACATTAGTAAAATAATAACATGATTCAGTCGAATCATACAGATGTAAAGCATTTACAGTATGATCCAAAAAAGTGTACAAAGATTGATATCAGATAATAAGTATGTACAAAGACGTTGGATAACCGCAAGAGTTAAAGACAATCAAATCGTGGCACTTTAATGCAATGCATGCATGGCATTTTCGAAATAAGATTCTAGTTTTACTCTTGGATTTAAAAGTTTCTCCCATATATAGCAAAGAATCAGACACCATGAAGAATCTAAATCACATAACGCTACTGTAATTGCACTATGAAGTTGTATAACAGAGAAAGATATAAGCTCTTTAATCAACATAGGTATAGTAAAAAAGCAGAAAGCGCAAGTATTGAAAAACATCGAAGTATTTAAACGAATTTTTGCAGCAGTTTTTTTTATTGGGAAGCAAGCTCTTCCATACAC